CCAGAGACTCGTGCCCTCTCATCGCAGCGTAGGAGAGGGGTGAAATGCCACCGTGTTCTGGTTTGTCGGGGAAGATGGCCCCCTGTGCCAGCAAGAGCTTTACCGCCTCCAAATGCCCGCCCCTCATGGCCCATATTAGTGGTGTTACACCCGCAGAGTCAGCTTGATTGATATTGCAACCCTTTCTTTTTAATAAATCAGCCATAATCTCAGTAATCCCGAAGAATGATGCACAATGTAGTCCGCTGAACAGCGAAGGAGCATTGACTTCACGAGAATCGGAGGGTTCCAGTATTTGCTCTAGGAGTAATTTAGCGGCTACGTCGTTTCCATGCTGGCCCAAAAGCTCCATAGCAAGCAATCTCGCGTGATCTGAAAGCTCCCGGTTCGCGTGGGTGCCCCAATATCTCGAACAATACTTGAGGAAGGGCATGCTAAAAAGTTCGGGTTGCGGTTTCGCCGAAAGGGCCTTGACCTGGTCTGAATTCAGAAATGTCAGGCAAGTCTCCGCCATTGTTGAGTGTACTCGACCGAAAAGGTTGAGATCGGTTAAAAGGTACTCCCGGAGCGTGTGGTGGATCAATCGCACAGTCGAGGATTCCTTATCCACTATGACTAATCCTTGACAGCAGGCGAGAAATGTCTCTGCCGCAGGAATGTTGTCGCTATAGAAACCACTAGATCCAACCTCTACAGCGAGCGCATGACGCAGTTCATCCACCTGTAATGGTCGTTCCGAATGGCATATCCACATCAGGGTGGCCATGCCAAGCTTGGCTTTCTCCACACCTTGAGCCCTTACCCGCTCTAGTGTTGCCTCATATGCACCCCCCAACCCCAACCCATCCGCCATCGCGTTGAGCCTCTTTCGCCTCCGATGGATTGTTGTTTCACTAAGGATTGCCTCGACCTTGAGCGAAACCAGCCGGAATCTAGACACGTATCCGTTATTATTACCTAAGCAATTTCCCAGACCACCTCTCTGCTACGAGTACTTACGATTGTGAGATCTCTGCGGGAGTGCACTGCATGATCTCATTCTCCAACCCGCTATCCATCGCTTCGGGAGTTGTATCCTTCCTCAGCCTCGCGCGCAGATATGTGACTATATCATCATCCCTGGCCTTTATCGATACACTTGTTGTTCTCCCTCCGAGCTCCCTCTCCACTATTCCCCGTACGTGCGGCCTTCCTGTTATAAACATTCGAGTGTTGGGTGACCTCTGAAGAATTTGCCTCAACGCATGGAGAACCTCAAGTCGGTGCGTTGGCACACATTCGTCAATCGCGTCAACACATATGAATGTGCGTTGTAAAGATGAGACAGTTGGGAACATGTTCACGATATCAGGGAGCCGTGGCTCCTGGTCCCCAATCACCTTCTTCTGGTCCTGGAATTTCCTCCTGATTCCCACAGGAATTGAGTCCAATCCGCCAAGAAGGTGTTTAAGCGCAGCGCCGAGCATATGTGTCGGGGACTGCTCCTCCCTAGACGCGAAGTCATAATAGAGATAGGCTACGGCCGTATCTTGCTCTCCAGCCTGCTCGCACAAATAGTCTACCACCAAAGAACTACCACCGTCACTCGTCAGCTTTAATGTTCCTTATTCCCCAGAGGTAGCCTCTCGTACCTAATGTAGCTCTTACCGACCCCCGGATCGCCATAGCAGAACAAGGCGGAATGATCGGATCCGCCCCCCCCGCCGCCATCATACCAGCTTCTGAACTCTTTAGTTCCTAGTAGCCACTCTCCCACGCCGTCCACCCGCTGATTGCGAATATCTCGGTGTCGCGTATGGTGCTCTAAGGGAGACAGCCAGGTGAGGATTTTGGGTTCATCATCGACGGTAGTAAAGGTAAAGTTGGCCACATTATTGAAAGAGTTGATGTTCTCGGTAAAGGCTCGAGACATTGTTATCCTTTTCGCCACCTGAAGTGTACCCGAGTACCGGTAGAATGGACAGAGTTGTTTGTTGACAATGAAAACTCGCGGTTGCGTCCAAAGTTTGCGAGCTGGGGAGATGGCTTGTGTAATGGAAATGCCGGGCTAGACCTGGATAGGAGACCCAACCTGTAACACAATATTAAGAGCCGCAGCAGGCTCACAGTTGCTTCCATTATGGTAGGGGACGTCTGTAGCCGGAGCGGACTGACATTCATCAGAGCTTAGTAATAGTAAGTTCATATGCCAAGCAGTAGACTTAATAGAGGTTATTCTCTTGGCAAAAATGCATTAACTGACTGTGCCAAGGAAATTAACAGAAGTTAACATGCTCCGGACATTCCCCAAAAGCTCACCTAGTTTTAAACCCTTATAATTCCACGAAAACTTGTGGTATTTTCATTTTCTCCCTATTAATGTGTAGAGGACCTCCTACTGTATCATCTAATAGAGCTATAATTCTCACCAGAGCGGTTGTTGAAATGCCTTTGCGGCCCAAAGTTGAGCAATAATTTCTTGGCAAATTACTCCGGCTACAGAAGTCCCCCACCATACGGCATCCGTCCCGAGCTAAATTAAGGATACTCGTACCGGTATGCTAAGATGGCCCCGAAATCCCATACCGGTACTCCAGTAGATCCCAACCGGACATTTCCCCACGCCCTCCCCCGCACCCATTGCTAAAATTAGGGATCATGCTTGGGTAGAGTATCCCTCGCTTGCACTTAACTCCATTGTGGCTTTCGTGAAGGGGCGAGCGTGTGGCCGGGTGGGTCCCGGACGCCTGGGCACGGGAATTTATCAGTGGGCCAATTGCCTCAAACCGTGCTCAGTATCTTTGCCCCCTGGTTTTAACCCAGCTCCTCGGTGCACCAGTGCCGGTTGAGCCGATCAGGCAAGCCTCCCCCAAACAAGCCGCCATGCGTGCGGCAACCCGAGCGCGCCCCCAGCACCCTCGGCCAAGACGGCACCACCCCCAACCAGCCCCGGCAGGCACGGCCCCTGAAAGCACTGCACGAAAGGAACCCCAGATACGAAGAAGGCGGCACGCCTTAGCCCCGGTCCCCCACCATTTATCCGGGGGCGCCGCGGCCCCAAAAGAAATGCTATTCGTTTTGTTCTTTGCTATAATGCACATTACTGGACACGTGAATTTGGAGTGTATCCGAAACCAGCTCCCACCCGTAAACCCAATCCCTGGTGCCGGGGTTTCCGGATGTCTTTAGAATTCGCGAGTGCTCATCCAGGTCCTCTCCCACCTTGGGTCCATATTAACCACAGCGAAACTGATGCACGGTTGGTGCAGTCGTACGGTTCTTGGACGAAAACCAGAGTGGGTGGTGACAAACTTGAGATTCTGAAATTCGTATTTTCGGGACTGGGGTTAGCGCCAAGCACTAGTATGGGAGCCCATACAAAAAGGTACAGTACGGTACGTGTTTTAGAAACGGCGGATATCCCACCACGGTTATTCCCCAACACTACTGCTGCGCGTCTTCCAATATCATAACTTACTGATGCCAATACCAAAAAGTACCAGTTTTCGGAGAATTACTTTATTTTATGGCTAAGTTATGTAAGGGTGGCCACCAACGGTGACGTTCGTCCGGGTTCTGTCCGAGTACCGTAGAGCAGAATTCCCACCAAAATGTGAGAGGCCGCACCCTAAGCTGCCACATGAGTCAGCAAACTCCCGCATTGCTGATCTCACGTAATCGCTACGAATAGCGATTCTTTTATCATTTCCTGATAACAGATATCGCGGGCTCACCCGGTATTAAACTCCAGGGGGGAAACCTTCTGATTGAAGTCGCGAAACCGGAACAAATAAATTCTCTGTGGGTGCGAAGGTGAGAGGATGCAGCGGAGGAGCAATAATCGCGAATT